TCTCAGTGGCAGACAGCCATGGACGCAGAGATGGCATCCTGGAAGTCCACAGGCACCTACGTCGACGAGGTTCCCCCACCTGGGGCGAACATCGTCAGTGGCATGTGGATTTTCAGGGTGAAGCGGCCGCCGGGTTCTCCGCCTGTCTTCAAGGCGCGTTACGTTGCACGAGGCTTCAGTCAGCGAGAGGGAGTTGACTTCTTCCAGACCTTCTCCCCGACCCCGAAGATGACCACTCTTCGGGTTCTGCTGCACGTCGCTGCTCAGCGTGACTACGAGCTCCACTCTCTTGACTTCAGCACTGCGTTCTTACAGGGCAGCCTGCACGAGGAGATCTGGCTGCGCCGCCCACCTGGCTTCACTGGGTCGTTCCCTCCTGGTACCCAGTGGAGCCTCCGGCGGCCAGTCTACGGTCTCCGCCAGGCACCCCGTGAGTGGCACGACACACTGAGGACTACTCTTGCTGCTCTTGGGTTTGCTCCTTCTACTGCTGACCCGTCGCTGTTTCTACGCACCGACACCACTCTGCCGCCGTTCTACGTTCTTGTTTACGTAGACGACTTGGTCTTTGCTACTGCTGACACTGAGGCACTCGCCCACGTGAAGTCGGAGCTGCAGAAGAGACACACGTGCACAGACTTGGGTGAGCTGACAAGCTATCTTGGCTTGCGGATCACCCGGGACAGAGCACAGCGCACCATCACCTTGACTCAGTCACACATGGTGCAGCAGGTCCTTCAGCGCTTCCGCTTCACGTACTCCTCGCCTCAGCCCACTCCTCTGCCTACCGGTCACTCACTCTCAGCTCTGCCTTCGGATGAGTCCGTAGAGCCGAGTGGCCCGTATCCAGAGCTTGTGGGCTGCCTCATGTACCTGATGACCTGCACTCGACCTGACCTGGCATACCCTCTTAGCATCCTAGCACGCTATGTCGCTCCCGGCCGTCACCGGAAGGAGCACATGGATGCCGCTAAGAGGGTGTTGCGCTACTTGTGCAGTACGTCGGGCATGGGGCTCGTGCTTGGAGGTCGGAGCGACGTTGTCCTCACGGGTCACTCAGACGCTTCTTGGGCTGACGACCAGGCTACGCAGCGGTCGTCTCAGGGTTACACCTTCAGCCTTGGCTCTGGTTCAGTTTCTTGGCGTTCTACTCGCTCTTCTTCTGTTCTCAGCTCCAGTTGTGAGGCTGAGATCTACGCCACAGCCATGGCTGCACAGGAGTTACGCTGGCTCACCTACCTGCTGACCGACCTGGGAGAGCGGCCTCGTTCTCCTCCAGTGCTGTACGTTGACAACAAGGCCACCATTGCCTTGTGTGAGGAGCACAGACTGGAGCACAGGACGAAGCACATCGCTCTGCGCTACTTCCTTGCTCGAGAGCTGCAGCAGCGTGGTCAGCTTCGTCTGCGTTACGTGGCCACTCGGGCCAACACTGCTGATGTGTTCACCAAGGCGCTTCAGCCTTGTGACCATCAGCGTTTCTGTACTGTTCTAGGCCTTGTGCCTACTCTCCCTCACTTGCTCACTTCTTGACTCTGCTTGTACTGTGATCTCTATATATATATACCTGCATGTTTACTCTTGTTAGGTTGTGATCACTGTACCTCTTGTTATATTATCAAACTGCATGTGAACTGGTCTTGTGACCACTTGCTTGTGCTCGGAATTTGTGTGGTTTCCTTGAGATCCACCCTGAGCTTGCTTTGCTTTGCTTTGACTGGTCTTGTGACCATCTGGTTGTCTCCCACTTAGCCTATGGGGGTGTGTCAAACATTATACATGTTCATATTGTGTAGGCTATAGTGGGTTTAGCCTTAGGGGGTACAACATTGCTAGGGTTTCCTACTTGTATCACCCTGCTGCCTAGTTTCACACATTCTCGTTCAGTTCTACATTCTAACACCGGCGACATTCCAGATGACCATGAACGAGGCGTTTAGGCCACTCTTAGATAAATGCGTGATAGTTTACCTCGACGGCATCCTCGTCTACAGTCGCGATAAGCAGCAGCACTTAGCAGATCTGGAAGCAGTTTTTTAAGTTTTAGACGAGCACCGGCGACTGACCAAGGGTTCCAAGTGCGAGTTCTTTCAGGACAGGCTAGAGTTTTTAGGACACGTTATTTCGGAGGCTGGGGTTGAAATTGACCCAAAGAAGCTGGACACGGTAAAAGCCTGGCACCCCCCGACGAATATCATGGAGTTGCAGAGCTGTTTGGGGTTTGTCAATTACGTGCGTCGGTTCGTCCCCGACATGGCACGATTAACAGCACCACTGACGGACTTGCTAAGAAAAGGGGTCGCTTTTACGTGGGGGGAGAAAGAGCATGCTGCCTTCTCTGCCCTGAAAAATGTTCTCTATTCACCGCCCGTACTGCGCATCGCCGACCCACACCGCCCATTCGAAGTAGTTACAGACGCAAGCGACATCGCCATCGGAGCCGTACTGCTACAGGACTTCGGCAACGGCCTAAAGCCCATCGCATACGAGTCACGAAAACTGCATCCGCCTGAGAAAAATTACCCGATACACGACGGCAAAATGCTCGCGATCGTGCACGCATTCAAAGTGTGGTGCTGTTACTTGACCGGCGCAGACGTGACAGTACGGACAGACCATAAGTCGCTATAGTACCTCCGCGCACTGCCCCACCTCAACCCACGACAGCTCCGCTGGCTCGATTTCCTCGAGTCCAATTTTCACTACACGGTCACCTACAAAAAGGGGGCGTCCAACATCGTTGACGCACTGACCCGCCCTACTGCCCAAATCCACGCGATACTACTTGCCCAGACCAGCCCACTACTGACAGGACTATTTACCCACGGATTCCAGACATACCCGTTCTTCACAGGAGGAAATTCGCAGCAGTTCGCAGCAGCAAGGGGAGTTTATTACGTAAAAGCAGGCACTGACCGCATCTGGGTACGAGGGTACACACTACTACGGGAATTACCGCTACAAGAGGCACACGACGGAGTCACCTCAGGCCACTTCGGAGTAGAAAAAACACGGCAGCAGCTGCAGCGGTATTATTACTGGCCCGAAATGTTGACCGAGTACAGTGGCACGTGGCATCGTGTCCCACTTGCCAGCTCATGAAATCATCACGGAAGCGGCCGGCAGGACAGTTGCAGCCGATACCACCCCCAGAACGTGCTTGGCAACAGGTGACGATGGACTTCGTCACAGGGTTACCGGCCGGAGCAAGTGGGAACGACGCGATCCTGGTCGTCGTCGATCGGCTGACGAAAATGGCACATTTCGCAGCCTGCAAGAAATCGATCACAGCCGAAGAAACAGCCCGCCTCTTCATCTCCACCGTCGTTCGACTTCACGGAATACCAGCAGCGATCATCAGCGATCTCGACACGAAATTCACCAGCAACTTCTGGCGGAACCTGTGGCAGCAGTTCGGCACGCGACTACAGTTTAGTTCTTCGTACCACCCGGAGACCGACGGACAGACAGAAAGGACAAACCAGACCATGGAGCAACTCATCCGAGCCTGCGACGACCCGACCACCTTGGAACAGCAGCTGCCACTCATCGAGTTCGCATACAACAACTCGCCATCCGCCACGACCCAACAGTCACCATTTTACCTGAACTACAGACAAGACCCCACAGTACCCATGACCCCAAATCCCGACAGCCCGGTGCCACGAGCGCAACAGTTCGCTGAAATTTTACAAGCAGCACGGAGCAGACACAATAAAAAAATCGAACATCATCGCTAAACGCAACGCTGACCGCAACCGCCGACCCGTCACTTACCAGCGCGACGACCTCGTTTTACTCGACACCTAGAACCTCCGCCTGCTCATCACCCCAAAACTCCGCCCCCAAAATAGCGGACCATTTCGCATCAGCCACATGATCACACCCGTCACCGCCCTCCTCCTCCCTGCTGACTGGTATGTCAGCCCGTCCTTCCACGTCAGCCTGCTTCGCCCTTACATACCATCCACAAGCCAACTGCCGCGCAACCGCCCAGCCAGCATGACACGACCGCCGACCGAGCCAATCATCACGCCCGAGAAGATTCTGAGCCACCGAGTTCGTGACCCACGGGGAGCTCGAAGGATCGAATTTCTGATCCGCTGGAGAGATCGTACGCCCACCGAAGACAACTGGGTTCCCCTGGACAGAATTGAAAACCACCCCGTCCTCACCGAGTATCTGCGCAGCCGAAATTTCCGGGACGTACACGCGCTTTCGTAAGGAGAGCCTCCTTAGGAGGGGAGGGGGGGTAGTGTATGGAAAATTCATTTTCCCTTACTTCGCGTCCCTGCTCAGCGCGTACACCACTATTCCCGCCAACAGCACCCAACAGTAATCCGTTACCACTCGCGAGACTCGCCTCGACACTGTTCCCGCCACTGTTCACGACGCGACCCAACCTCACGGTTCGGTTGGTAACCCGCGCTCCGGACCTCCGCCTCGACATTTTCCAACCACGGCTCTAGGCCCGTCGCTCACCCCACCTTCCACACATTACCGTTACCACTGTAGTTTCGCTATATGTTCTTCGCTCATGCCTTCGCTCATTGTACTCATGCTTCGATAGTGCAATCTTCGTTCGTTCACTCAATTGCACCAACTTCACATATTTTCCCGTACAATATTTTTCCCACCTTTCTTGTCCGCCATTCCCCACAAACTCACTCTGCCCACTCATCTGCGTCGTGGCACGCGCGGATTGCACGTTGCTCCCACAGCAACCTCAAAGTTGCTGCGCCACGTGGACTCCCCAAGACGACCTTTTCCATCAACCACGGTGTGGTTCCAACGTAGGGTTTATCGGTTCAAAGAGGTTGTTTCTGTTTTCCAGAATTCAAATTTGTGTCGAGCGTAAAACAAGACACCCACAAGCGATCGGGCGGCAGAGCAGACACGCTAATAGTTCTGGCGGCAGCGCGGAAACAAGCTAGCGAGGCGGTAGTGCTGGCAGTGGAGCGTGCGTCTGAGAAGCGACGCGGTATTTATCGCGGATCGCCATGGCAACGTCTTGGCGTTTGCTGCTCAATCGGACGTTGCCCGCTACACGTGGCTGCCACGTGCTCGCAGGTCAAACCTCGTCGCAGCGCGCTCGCACGCCTTTTTCGCTGAGTCGCGCGCTCTTGTCGATAAATCGCAGGACCTTGTTTTTGAATTGCGGGCGCGGTTGACGAATGGAGATCGTTGATCGCATTGTGGGCTGCTCCCACCCGTCCCTCCCCTCCACCAGGCCACCCGCACGCGCATCACTCGCTGCCATCCCCTTCCCGCCTCTCGCGCCTCTCATCGCCGCGGCGGCACCCAGCGACCCTGCACGCGTCTCGCCTAGCCCCCTCCCTCGCCACCTCACCGTCGCTCCTCTCCTCCGCGCCGCGCGTCTCCCCTCTCCCCGCTCGGCGCGCGTCGTCGCGGCACACTTTATCGCGCGCTGCGTCGGTGCGGGCGGCAGCTGACGCGGGAAGCGATGGCGTCGGCCCCGCCACCGCGGAAGGTACGTCGCTGCCCATGTGCGCGCCCGTGATCCTCCGTTGCATGCACTCCACCCGTCGCCCGCATTGCCGCACCCCTTTAACCCGTCCGCCCTCCAACAAGCCTCTTGCTCGTCTGGCTTCCTGCAGCTTCCGTCCCTTCGTTGCTCTCGCCCACCTCCCTGGCCCACCTCCCTGGCCCACCTCCCCTACCAACCTGCCTCCTTTTTCTTTCGCCGTTGTGCGCTCGGTCTTCCTTTCCCCTCCTCCTCTCACCTTCCCCCCCCACACGCCTTGCCTTGTTTCACCTCTACCCTTCCGTTCCCATCCATCCTCCCCATTATCCACCGTGCTGCTCCCCCACCCTCCCTGGTTTTCCCCGCCCTTTGTCCTCCCCTCCACACCCTCCCTGCTTTTCCCCGCCTCTGTTCCCCCCACTCTCCCTGCTTTTCCCCGCCCTCTGTTCCCCCCACTCTCCCTGCTTTTCCCCGCCCTCTGCTCCCCCCACCCTCCCTGGCCCCACCTCCATCGCATCCGCAGCACCCTCACCTCCTGCAGCAGCGCCAGCAGCAGCAGTGGATCCAGCGGTGGCGGGCAGCTCCTTGAGGCGGCGGTTCCTGGAGTTCTACGCGGCGAGGGGCCATGCCGTGCTGCCGTCCGCGTCGCTGGTGCCGGCCGACCCCACCGTGCTGCTCACCATCGCCGGCATGCTGCCCTTCAAACCCGTCTTCCTCGGCCAGGTGGGGTCCCCTCGTTCTCCCATTGCCCCATCCCCCCACCCATGCCCCCATCCCCCCACCCATGCCCCCATCCCCCCACCCATGCCCCCATCCCCCCACCCATGCCCCCATCCCCCCACCCATGCCCCCATCCCCCCACCCATGCCCCCATCCCCCCACCCATGCCCCCATCCCCCCACCCATGCCCCCATCCCCCCACCCATGCCCCCATCCCCCCACCCATGCCCCCATCCGCCCACCCATGCCCCCATCCCCCCACCCATGCCCCCATCCCCCCACCCATGCCCCCATCCCCCCACCCATGCCCCCATCCGCCCACCCATGCCCCCGTCCCCCCACCCATGGCCCCATCCCCCCACCCATGGCCCCATCCCCCCACCCATGCCCCCATCCCCCCACCCATGCTTCCATCCCCTCCCATGCTCCCCTATTTTTCCACCCCATGCTTTCATTACTCCTGTCGTGCTCCCATCGCCCCTTCCCCACACCGCAATCCCACAAATCCCACTTCCACCTCTGCGGTGCCGAGCAGTGCGCCCCTCCTATGCCGAGCAGTGCGCCCCTCCTATGCCGAGCAGTGCGCCCCTCCTATGCCACAGCCACTCAGCACTGCATGCTGCCACCACCGCTTTCTTGCTAACCCTCCTTCCACCTCCCCACCTCCCTGCCACCCCACCTGCTCGCTATACCACCCCCGTTGAATTTCTCTAAAGTGAATCCCACCTGCCTGCCATCCCACCTGCCCGCCATCCCACCTGCCCGCCATCCCACCTGCCCGCCATGCCATCCCACCTGCCCGCCATCCCACCTGCCCGCCATCCCACCCACCTTGCCCAGGTGCCGCTCAGCGTGCGTGGGCGACAACGAGCCAGCGCCGCGGTGTGTGCGCAGCAACGATGTGGAGAACGTGGGGCGCACCCCACGGCACCACACCACCCGCCTTGCCATCTGTCCTTCCACCATCCCGCCCACCTTCCACCAGGTGCCGCCCACTGTGCCGCGCGCCACAACGAGCCAGCGGTGCGTGCGGACGAACGACGTGGAGAATGTGGGGCGAACGGCACGGCACCACACCTTCTTTGAGATGCTCGGCAACTTCAGCTTCGGCGATTACTTCAAGCAGGACGCGTGCCAGTGGGCCTGGCAGCTCGCCACTCAGGAGTGAGCGCAGGGGGGGCAGGAGATGCTCACTGCACTGCAATGCACCGCACTGCACTGCACGACATGGCAGCACACCTTGTTCGAGATGCGGAAGAAGCTCACGCGGCGGGGCACACTGATCGCCGGCCCCACCATGTACCCTCCTCGCACACTTGCACACATGCCTGCTCTCCCTTGCCTCTTCTCTGCACCCAGCTTGGTGGCCTCACCCCATCTCAACGCTGCCTCATCCTTGAGCCTACGCCACCCCCTCCCTGCATGTGACACGGCATGCGCCATCCATTTGTAATGCGCACTGCTCTGTTCTGCTGCTCTTCCATTCGTGTGTGGTGTGTGTGGTGTGTGCTGGGAGGGCAGGTTTGGAATACCGGAGGAGCGCATCTGGGTGAGCGTCTTCCGTGATGACGACGAGACGTACGCCATCTGGAAGGACCAGGTGCGTGCCCCTGCTGCTGCCACTGCTGCTCGTTCCCACGCTGCTGCTCGCCCATAGCTCGTGTGTGGCGCGTGCGCAGCGTGCGGCAGGCTGTGTGATCGCGATGCATGTCGCTCGCAGTCTCCTCCATTTTTCTAAGCGCTCACCCTGCTCTGCCCCCTCGCCAACACCAGGTGGGAGTGGCGGAGGAGCGACTACGACAACTGCTGGGCGTTCTCGACTCGAAAGCCACCCTCTCCCTTTTGAGTCGACTCAAAACCTGCTGCACCCACACACACCCTCCCCTTTCCCCTCCCCCACCCTCAACACCAGGTGGGCGTGAGTCCAGAGCGCATCCAGCGGCTGGACGAGGAGGACAACTTCTGGGCGAGTGGGCCCACGGGGCCGTGTGGGCCGTGCAGCGAGCTCTACTACGACTTCCACCCTGAACGTGGCATCGAGGGCGCTGTGAGTACCTGGGGGGGCTGCGTTCAGTTCATGCATAGATGTTCTGTGCATGCAAGTCTACTGAATGCAAGACAAGCTAATGCATGAGCAGTCACCAGTGCAGCGAGGTCTACTATGGCTTCCACCGCGAGCGAGGCGTCAAGGGTGCTGTGAGTACCTGGGGGGGCTGCTTTCATGCATGGCTGTGCTGTGTGCACGCGGGACCACTGCACCCAGAGCGCAGTGAGTGTTGGCATTGGGCCGTGCGTGCAGCATCACCTTGGGGGCGCCGCGCACTGCAAGCAGGATGGCAGTCCTATGGCTGCCGCACCACCGCCCTGCCCGTTCCATGCACCATGCCCTCTGCCCTCTGCCCTCTGTCCTCTGCCCTCTGCCCCATCGCTGTTCCCCATGCCCTCCTCGCCCTTGCCCTCCTCCCTCAACCCCCACCCCCCTGGCGGCGGTGACAGGATCTGGGCGGCGACAATCGCTTCATAGATCTGTACAACCGCCTTCGGAGGCACCTCACAATGCCCTCTCATCCCCTGCTCCCGCCCCCCACCCCCTAGCGTCTATCTCAGGATATGGGAGACGACTGGCGGTTAATAGAGTTCGACAACCTGGTGTGCATAGAGAGCAACCTCTCTACCCCTGCTCCTGCCCAACCGCCCCCTGCTCTCATGTGCTGTGTGCCTCTCTATCGCAGGACCTGGGAGACGACTCGCGCTTCATAGAGTTCTACAACCTTGTCTTCATGGAGAGCAACCGCCGCGACGACGGGGGGTTGGAGCCGCTGCGCTGCAAGAACATCGACACGGGGCTCGGCCTTGAACGCCTCGCTCAGATCCTGCAGCAGGTACGTGCAGGCTGGGGTGCTTGCTGGTGACCCACAGTAAGGTGGGGCGTGCAGTGCAGCAGGTGAGCCGCGCTGGGGTGTGCTGCTGTGGTTATGCTGGTGATTCATGCCTGTGCTGCTGGTGTGGTTACACTCATGTGTCTCAGGTGCAAGATGGATGCGTGAAGTAAAGTAGGCATCCATATGAAGTGTCTCCGGGTGCAAGTGCCAGTGCTGGCGTGTGTAAGCGGGCGACTGCTTGGCTATGTCTCAGGCCAACGCATGCGTCGACGCCATCTACCCCCCATCCCATCTCCCCTTTCACCCACATTTCTGCCCACACATCTCACTCCCCATGGTCATGTGGCCTCCCCGGTGCCACATGGTGTGTCCACGTGGCATGCGTGCCCCGGCAGGTACCGAGCAACTACGAGACGGATCTCATCTTCCCCATCGTGCAGCGCGCAGCCCAGCTGGCGGGGGTGGACTACCACAGCGCGGATGATGACACCAAGCGCATGCTCAAGGTGGGGGAAGGGGGGGGTTGATGAGGGTGAGAACAGCACAGCACACGCAGCGCGTGCTCCAGGTGGGGGGGAAGGGACGGATGGTGAGGGCTTTCAGGGCGGGAGTGCCCGGCCACCATGGCCCTGCTGCCCTCCACCTCTGCTCGCCCTCTGCCTCACACTGCCCACCCATTGCTCTCTCCGGGCCGTCTCGCTACCCACTGCCGACTATGCCGGGGCAGTGCTGCATGCATCTCACCTCACCTCACCTCTCCTCACCTCCCCTCACCTCACCTCACCTCACCTCTCCTCACCTCACCTCACCTCACCTCACCTCACCTCGCCTCACCTCACCTCACTCACCTTATCTCATCTCGCTGCGGGTTCTCCGGCCATGCACCGGTCTACCTCCTCCCCCCCTGCGTCCGTGCATGTGTGCCCGGCAGGTGATAGGCGACCATGCGAGGGCCGTGGTGCACCTGGTGGCGGACGGCGTGTCACCTTCCAATCTCGGCCGCGGCTACGTCGTGCGCCGCCTCGTGCGCCGCCTTGTGCGCACCGCCCGCCTTCTTGGCATCAACTCAGGCAGCGGCGCCACCACCACTCACACCGACACCGCCAATGGCAACGGCAGTGCTGCTGGGGGTGGCGACTCTGCCTTCCTGCCAATCATCGCTCAACAGGTTGGGATGAAGCCTCCTCCTTCCTCCATCTGTTTCGCTGCAGCTGCGTGCCTGACGCTTCCTGCTTCCAACCCCCCCTTCATGTACCTGTGCCCCTTTTATGTGCCTATTCATCCAGTCCTTCACCTTGCCGTCTCAACCCCTCCATCTCAACCCCTGCATCTCCTCTCCTTACCCCCTCCACCACCTGTTCGTGGGCGGCAGGGAGCAGCCACGAGCAGCAGTGCCAATGCGCCTGTGCTTCCTCCCCTGCGCGCCCCACGTCGTCTCCCCTACCCACCTCCTCCCCCTTCCCCTCCCCCAGGTGATAGCGATGAGCAGGGGCATCAACAGCAACGTGGCGGAGCGCGCCGAGCGAGTGGTGGAGGAGTGCCAGGGGGGGCATGGAATGCAGGGGGGGCTGTGTTTCCTCCCCTTCACGCCCAACCACCGCATCCCCCCTTTCCCCCCCCCCCCCCCCCTCTCTACCATGTGATAGCCATGAGCGCAGACATCAACAGCAACGTGGCAGAGCGCGCAGAGGGAGTGGTGGAGGAGCCACGAGCAGCACTGCCAGTGGGGCCTGTGCTTCCTCCCCTTCACATCCCCCCTGTGCCTCCCGTCCCCTCTCTCCCCCATCCAGGTGATAGCCATGAGTGCGGACATCAACAGCAACGTGGGAGAGCGCGCGGAGCGGGTGGTGGAGGAGCTGAGGCGCGAGGAGGAGCGGTTCGTGGCCACACTGGAGCGAGGGGAGAAGATGCTCGACCTGCTGCTCTCGCAGGCCCTCACCCACGCTGCTGATGCTGCTGCTGCAGGAGGGGAGGGAGGGGAAGGGGCGGGGGTGGCGGCGGGGGCGGTGTTGAGTGGGCGGGATGCGTTTGTGCTGTACGACACGTACGGGTTTCCCGTGGAGATCACGGAGGAGGTGGCGCGGGAGAGGGGCGTGGCCGTGGACATGGCGGGCTTTGAGCGAGAGATGGCTGCTCAGAGGAAGCAGTCGCAGGTATGTGAGTGAGGATGAGAAGGAACAGTGAAGCTGTCTTTTGTATCAGGAAACTGGAGAGTGGAGAGTTGAGCTAGGAATGTGGGGCGAGGGAGAGGGTTGTGAGCAAGATGTTCTTCTCTCACCGCTTTGCAACAACCGTTGGAGCACTGCGGGTGGGCACTGGTTTGTCAAGCTTCATTTCTCCTCCCTCCAGCCCACCTTGCTTCCGATGCCTCTCGTTCGATTTCAGTCCCTTGCTCGCCTCCTTTCCACAAACTGCCACTTCACCATCTTCCATCCAACCCTCCCACCTGCCCCCCAGGCGGCGCACAGTGCCATCAAGCTGGCAGTGGGCGGGGCAGCAGCGGACCTGGCAGGGCAGGTGCCCGAGACAGAGTTCGTGGGGTACTCGTGCCTCGCCTCCTCCTCGCCCGTGCTGGCGCTCGTCGTTGAGGGCAAGGTGGTGGAGCGCGCAGCAGCGGGGCAGGCGGTGGACGTGGTGCTGGCGCGCACTCCCTTCTATGCCGAGGGGGGCGGGCAGATCGCCGACTGGGGGCACATGCGCGTGCTGCAGGGGGGAGGGGGGGAGGGAGGGGCGGTGGTGCGTGTGCGGGACGTGCAGCGCGCGGGGGGAGGGCTGTGGCTGCACCGGGGGGAGGTGGAGGAGGGCGAGGTGTGTGTGGGGGACGAGGTGGAGGCGGTGGTGGATGAGGAGCAGCGCCTGCGCGCACAGGTGCGGGGTGAGGGCGCGAGTGAGAGAGTGAGGGCGCGGGTGAGAGAGTGAGGGCGCGAGTGAGAGAGTGAGGGCGCGGGTGGAAGAGTGAGGGCGCAGGCGAGGGGTGAGGCTAAATTGTGAAATGGCATTGCACTCTCTTGCCATGCCATCTCCAATTATTCCCTCGCACCTCATCCCCATCGCTCCTCCCTGTTGTTTTCCTCTTCGTTACCCTTCCCTTCCTCCCACCCCCTCTCCCCCACCAGGCGCACCACACGGCAACGCATCTCCTCCAAGCAGCGCTGCGCGAGCAGTTGGGGCCGGACGTGGCGCAGGCGGGCAGTCTGGTGGCGTTCGACCGGCTGCGCTTCGACTTCCACTTCCCGCGCGCCGTCATGCCCGCCGAGCTCACCGCCGTGGAGGCGCGCGTGAACAAGTGGATCGCCGCTGGCGCTGCCGTCACGGCGGCCGTCATGCCCATTGCTGACGCCAAGGCTGCTGGCGCGATTGCGATGTTTGGGGAGAAGTACGGCGACGAGGTATGCTGTGGGGGGAAGGGGGGGGCAGGGGCATAGGCGCGCGTCAACAGGTGGATTGCCGCTGGGGCTGCCGTCGCGGTCGCCGTCATGCCGATTGCTGACGCCAAGGCTGCCGGCGCCATCGCCATGTTCGGGGAGAAGTACGGCGAGGGGGTATGCTGTGAGGGGAAGGGGGGGAGGGGCCTGGGCATGTGTGAAGGGGTGGATTGCATCGTCAGCGCTGTGTTGTGGAGACGCCTGGCACGCACGTGAGAGGGTGGGCACGGGAGCGCAGGGTTCAAGAGAACCTCAAGTGGCGCTGCGAAGGGTGTTGGTGGGTAAAAGCGAGCATGTGAGCCAACTTCAACACACTTATCCCTCTCCCCACCCCATCAGGTGCGCGTGATCGACGTGCCGGGCATCAGCATGGAGCTGTGTGGCGGCACTCACGTGGGCAACACGGCGCACATCCGCGCCTTCAAGCTGCTCTCCGAGGCCGGCATCGCGGCGGGTGTGAGGCGCATTGAGGCCGTGGCGGGGGAGGCGGCAGTGGACCTGCTGCACCAATGGGACGGCGTTGTCAAGGCGCTCTCCTCCTCCCTCAAGGTGCGCTCTCCTCCTCCCTCAAGGTGCGCTCTCCTCCTCCCTCAAGGTGCGCTCTCCTCCTCCCTCAAGGTGTGTCCATGCAGGCCCTTCGTCTCCTCACTGCATACCCACACGTCTGTTCTGCACCCGTCGTTGCACTGCTGCACTATTTGGTGAGCAGCTAAGATGCTGTCCCCTTTCCTTCACGGCACACTCCCTGTGCTCCACATGTTCTTCACGGCACACTCCCTGTGCTCCACATGTTCTTCTCCGCCACGCTCTTTCTCCATGTGCTCTTTGGCGGGTCAACGTGTCTGCATGCACCACGACTCTCTCGCATCTGGCTCAACGCACTGACTCTCTCGCATCTGGCTCAACGCACTGACTCTCTCGCATCTGGCTCAACGCACTGCCTCTCTCGCATCTGGCTCAACGCACTGACTCTCTCGCATCTGGCTCAACGCACTGCCTCTCTCGCATCTGGCTCAACGCACTGCCTCTCTCGCATCTGGCTCAACGCACTGCCTCTCTCGCATCTGGCTCAACGCACTGACTCTCTCGCATCTGGCTCAACGCACTGACTCTCTCGCATCTGGCTCAACGCACTGCCTCTCTCGCATCTGGCTCAACGCACTGACTCTCTCGCATCTGGCTCAACGCACTGCCTCTCTCGCATCTGGCTCAACGCACTGACTCTCTCGCATCTGGCTCAACGCACTGCCTCTCTCGCATCTGGCTCAACGCACTGACTCTCTCGCATCTGGCTCAACGCACTGCCTCTCTCGCATCTGGCTCAACGCACTGCCTCTCTCGCATCTGGCTCAACGCACTGACTCTCTCGCATCTGGCTCAACGCACTGACTCTCTCGCATCTGGCTCAACGCACTGCCTCTCTCGCATCTGGCTCAACGCACTGACTCTCTCGCATCTGGCTCAACGCACTGCCTCTCTCGCATCTGGCTCAACGCACTGACTCTCTCGCATCTGGCTCAACGCACTGCCTCTCTCGCATCTGGCTCAACGCACTGACTCTCTCGCATCTGGCTCAACGCACTGCCTCTCTCGCATCTGGCTCAACGCACTGCCTCTCTCGCATCTGGCTCAACGCACTGCCTCTCTCGCATCTGGCTCAACGCACTGCCTCTCTCGCATCTGGCTCAACGCACTGACTCTCTCGCATCTGGCTCAACGCACTGACTCTCTCGCATCTGGCTCAACGCACTGACTCTCTCGCATCTGGCTCAACGCACTGCCTCTCTCGCATCTGGCTCAACGCACTGACTCTCTCGCATCTGGCTCAACGCACTGCCTCTCTCGCATCTGGCTCAACGCACTGACTCTCTCGCATCTGGCTCAACGCACCGACTCTTTCGTCCTTCTTTCCAATCCCATTGTGGGGGCGGGGTTGGGCGAGCAGGTGAAGGCGGAGGAGGTGCCGGCGCGAGTGGCGGTGCTGCAGGAGGAGCTGCGGGCGGCCCGCAGCGAGGCGGAGAGCCTGAGGGGCGACCTGGCTGTGGCGCGCTCCCAGCTGCTGCTGGGGCAGGCAGAGACTGTTGGGGCTATGGGGTGCAGGTGAGGTGGGGGAAGGACGCTGGGATGGGGTGGAAGCTGACATGAGAGGCGAGAGGGCATGGGAGGGGAGAGGGGTTAGGATGCATGGATGGGAGGTGTGATCAGAGCCCACCACTCACACCGCACACATGCTTAAATTCCATCCGCACCGCGCTCGCTATCCCTACCTCCCACCCAACGCAGCAAGCCCATCCCCTCTCCCCCTCCCCCCGTCTCTCAGGGTGCTGGTGGCGGAGCTTCCAGTGGTGACAACAGATGCCCTTTGAGTCAATAAGCCCTTCCCCATCCCCCCTCCCCCGCTCCCTCCCTTCCCCCCTCTCGCCCCCTCCCCCTCTCCCCCTCCACCCCTCTCAGGGTGCTGGTAGCGGAGCTGCCAGGGGTGACAGCAGACGCCCTCAAGACGGCCGCAGAGAGCCTAGCGGCACAGCTGTCGGGCGGCAGCAGTGAGAGTGCGGTGGTGCTGGCGTCCGGCAGCAGCGAGGAGGGCAAGGTGGCCATCGTGGCTCTGCTCAGCCCCGCGGTGAGACCCTGCTTCCTGTCCTGTGCTCTAGGTGCGTGGCAGCTGCCTGCAGCGCGCTCATGCTCACCTCACGCTGCTCCTCCCCCACCTCCTGCACTTCCATCCCCGAATCCCATGCACACCAGCAGCCTCTGCACCGCGCACCATTCATTCTCCACACCCCCAAGCGTTGCCTGCTCCAACCCATGTGCCCTTCCGTGTTGCCTGCTCCAACCCATGTGCCCGTCCGTGTTGCCTGCTCCAACCCATGTGCCCTTCCGTGTTGCCTGCTCCAACCCATGTGCCCTTCCGTGTTGCCTGCTCCAACCCATGTGCCCGTCCGTGTTGCCTGCTCCAACCCATGTGCCCTTCCGTGTTGCCTGCTCCAACCCATGTGCCCGTCCGTGTTGCCTGCTCCAACCCATGTGCCCTTCCGTGTTGCCTGCTCCAACCCATGTGCCCTTCCGTGTTGCCTGCTCCAACCCATGTGCCCGTCCGTGTTGCCTGCTCCAACCCATGTGCGTTGCCTGCTCCAACCCATGTGCCCGTCCGTGTTGCCTGCTCCAACCCATGTGCCCTTCCGTGTTGCCTGCTCCAACCCATGTGCCCTTCCGTGTTGCCTGCTCCAACCCATGTGCCCTTCCGTCTTGCCTGCTCCAACCCATGTGCCCTTCCGTGTTGCCTCCTCACCCACGTGTCCCCTTCCTCGTGCCTCACCCACGTGTCCCCTTCTCCCTCGCCCATATGTCCCCCCAGGTGGTGAAGGCGGGCGTGAATGCGGGCAAGCTGGCGGGCGCCATGGCGCGTGTGTGTGGGGGAGGGGGAGGGGGGCGCCCCAACTTTGCGCAGGCAGGGGGCAGGCAGCCGGAGAAGCTGCCGGAGGCACTGGCTGTGGGCAGGGCGGAGCTCATGAAGCAGCTGGGGGCGTAGCGGGCGGTGGAGCAGGCGCATCCCACCCCATGCTGTGCCATCCATGAGCTGGTTTCTCCGCACTGCGGCTCTCATAAGCATACCACAGTCGTGCGGTGAACCATTTTTGGAATTGATGAAGCCTAGGAGGAGATAAGATGTGTGCGAGCTAAGCTTGGATCAAGGAGTTAAATAAAAAAAGTGACTCATCTCAACCCTGCCAATGTAATGCATGCCAGCTGGATACCAACTTCATCTCCCACCCATCCCCTTGGCAAGTCACCAACGACAGACCTTTAAAGCCCGCGTCCCAAATTGCGGACCGCGAGGGTCAAGTTTTTAAAACTTGACGAAGTTGAGTGTCCAAGCTTTTGAAAGTCACGCACCTGCAATTTGGGACTTTCAAAGACAGATTCACTCACCAGGGGGAAAACCGAGGGTTGGCTGGGTCTCGCGAAAAAAAAAAACGAACCTAGACGAAATTGCGAACTCTCGCCAAAGCCTACACCAGAAAAACTCCCTCTGGTCAACTTTTAAAAGCATGAACAATTTGGGCCGCCGGCTTTAAGTAGAGGCCCTCCGCCATACCGGTACACATTGTGTGATGAGTTGTCTCTCCACACAGTCAGCAACCTCTGACGTATTGTTAGAATACGCAGGCAGGAATGATTGCATTGAGCAGCAGGATGAGTACAAGTATGAAACCCGAAAGGGTTGTACTCACTAGAGTATTGCCCCACTACAGCCTAGAAGCATACAAATGGAATTTGACACACCCCCATAGGCAAAATGGGGGATAGCAAACACAACGAACGGTCACAAGACCAGTCAAGCAAGAGAACAAAGCAAAGCAAAGCTCAGGGTGGATCTCAAGGACACCACACAATCTGAGCACAAGCAAGCGGCCACAAGGCCAGTTCACATGCAGAGTTATAATAGCAAGGCAGTACACTGATCACAACCTACCGTCATCGCCCGGATATAAGACATATATGTCTTATCTCATACACTATGCTTGGGTTATCTTGTATTTGGGGAGGTTTTGGGTGTCTTATAAGTCTTATAAATGGAAACTTTTTTAAACTACTTAGAAATATTTTCACGCATCTTGAAAAGAGTTTCTCATTAAGAGTGTGGATGGTTCAAAGGTGCCACTTCGGCAACCATTGTTCGGGACGCCACGTCATCCCGAATACTTGCAGAGGCAAATTTGGTAGTACGTGAGTCAGCACGTGGCAGAATTCGTGTGTCGCAAGGGTAAAGATGTACGCGGCATTTCAATTTTCACTATAATACATGCAGGTTCGATTATAAGACACATATGTCTTATCTCGTACACACAAATAGGTGTCGTATAAAAAGGCTAGCCTGTTTATAAGAGACACCCGTATAATAGACAACCCCTGTCTACTATTCAACACTGTCTTATATCCGGGCGATGACGGTATCAAGAGTAAACAAGCAGGTATAAAGATATATATCAGTGTACAACAAGAGCAAGTCAAGCAACCAGCAGGTGAGGCAGAGCGGGCACAAGCCCAAGAGCTGTGCAGAAACGCTGATGATCACCAGACCCAAGGGCCTTGGTGAAGACATCAGCAGTGTTGGCCCGAGAGGCCACGTAAGCAAGGCGTAGCTGACCACGCTGCTGCAGCTCACGCGCAAGGAAGTAGCGAAGAGCAATGTGCTTCGTTCTGTGCTCCAGTCTCTGCTCGCGACACAAGGCAAGCATTGCCTTGTTGTCGACGTACAGAACTGGAGGAGAACGAGGCCGCTCCCCCAAGTCGGTCAGCAGGTAGGTCAGCCAGCGAAGCTCCTGTGCAGCCATGGCCCCAGCGTAGATCTCGGCCTCACAGCTGGAACCAAGCACAGAAGAAGAACGAGTGGACCTCCACGAGACAGAACCAGAGCCAAGACTGAAGGTGTAACCCTATGACGAACGCTGAGTCGTCTGGTCGTCGGCCCAAGAAGCGTCAGAGTGTCTTGTGAGTACCACTGGACCCCGTCCTCCAAGCACGAGCCCCATGCCCGATGTACTGCACAAGTAACGTAGTACTCTCTTCGCATAATCAAAGTGCACCTTTTGGTGTCTACCGGGAGCCACGTAGCGAGCCAGGAGGCTGAGAGGGTACGCGAGGTCAGGTCGTGTGCAGGTCATCAGGTACATGAGGCAGCCCACAAGCTCTGGGTACGGACCACTCGGCTCTACGGACTCGTCCGAAGGTGGAGCTGAGAGCGAGTGGCCGGTAGACAGAGGAGTGGGCTGTGGCGAGGACCACGTGAAGCCGAAGCGCTGAAGGACCTGCTGCACCATGTGTGACTGAGTGAGGGTGATGGTGCGCCGTGCTGTGTCCCGGGTGATCTGCAAGCCAAGATAGCTCCGCAACTCACCCAGGTCAGTGCAGGTGTGTCTCTCCTGCAGCTCCGCCTTCACTACGGCCAGTGCCTCAGTGTCAGCAGTAGCAAAAACCAAGTCGTCGACGTACACGAGGATGTAGAACGCTGGCAGAGTAGTGTCGGTGCGTAGAAACAGCGACGGGTCAGCAGTCGAAGGAGCAAACCCAAGAGCCGCAAGTGTCGTCCTCAGTGTGTCGTGCCACTCGCGGGGCGCCTGACGCAGGCCGTACACTGGTCACCGTAGGCTCCACTGGGTACCCTCAGGAAACGACCCAGTGAAGCCCTCTGGACGGCGCAACTAGATGGCCTCGTGAAGGCTACCCTGCAAGAAAGCTGTCGAGAAGTCGAGGGAGTGCAGCTCGTAGTCGCGCTGTGCTGCAACGTGTAGCAACACCCGAAGAGTGGTCATCTTTGGGGTAGGGGTGAGGTCTGACTGAAGCCTCGAGCAACGTAACGTGCCTTGAAGGCAGGCGAAGAACCCGTCGGCCGCTTCACTCTGAAAATCCACATGCCACTGACAATGTTCGCCCCAGGTGGGGGAACCTCGTCGACGTAGGTGCCTGTGGACTTCCAGGAAGCCATCTCTGTGTCCATGGCTGTTTGCCACTGAGAGGAGTACTCACCCGAAATCGCCTCTCTGTAAGAGCGCGGGGTCGGGATGTCAAGTGCATCCGGGTCTCCCTCAGGGGCAAGCAGCATGGTCACGAGATGTGGTGCAGCGACTGCAAGGCACTCCAGCTCCTCCTGCCTATCCTCAAGAACGTCACAGCCAAGGGCAGTACAGCCAAGGGCAGTCTCACCCCCGACGGACGGAGGAAAGGCAGGGACAGGGTCAGAAACAAGACTCACAAGGTAGTCTAGGCGGTACACAGCAGCAAAGTCAACGAGCTCAGCGACTAAGGCAGACGCAGTAGGAGACGAGAACGAAGGGCTAGTCACCACCGTAGCAAGAAAGCGAGTAACAGTCGGACTGGACGCACGAGCAAGGTCAGACGGAGGGTCAGCAACGTCAGGAAGAGAGGACGCAGGAGGTAACGGCAGGACAACATGCTGTGGAAAAGAGGAAGGACGGAGTGTCATATCGTGAGTGCCTGGGACAGCCGGAGCACGCTGATGACGAACACGAGGAACACGAGTACGGACAGCGGCTCTAGGCTCGGGCTCAAGGTCAAAGCTAGACTCAGGCTCTCGACGCTCAGGGGTGGAAGCACGAGTCTCAGGCTCTCGACGCTCAGACAGGGACTGTGTCACCGCAATGTAAGGAGCAGGAGCAGGCAGTGGGGAGTGCGGTAGCAGCGGCGGCTGAGACTGGTGTGCCGGAGGAAACAGTAACGGAGGAGCAGTACCTGCCACTGGGAAGTCAGTAGCACCTGGCGGAAGACTGAGAAGGTGGCGAAGAGCACCAGCAGCCCCCGTACCTCCAGCACGAGCAGCTCCACCAGTACTCCCAGCAGCACCTCCAGCACCAGTAGCACCAGCACCTCCAGCACCTCCAGCACCACTAGCTCCGGCAACGCCAGCACCTCTAGCACCAGCAGTACCTCCAGCACCTCCAGTGCCAGCAGCTCCAGTAGCACCTCCAGCACCTCCAGCACCAGGAGCACCACCTGCTCCGGCAGCTCCAGCACCTCTAGTACGAGTACCTCCAGGACCAGCAGCTCCAGCACCTCCAGTACCTCCAGCTCCAGCTCCAGCGCCTCCAGCACCAGCAGTAC